AGAGGACAGAGACACAAGCGGCCATTTCATAGTTCTTTTATAAAATTTTTCTGCGTTTTTCAAACGAAAAACAAATTTTGCCAATAAGCTGTCTCTGTCCTCTGATATACACGGTGGTCAGCCAATCAGAGCATGCGTTATATGTCAAAAATTTCATAAAGCAATAATATATCAAAGTGCACCTTACCCCTGAAAAATGGCATTTTTTTCTAAAATGAGGGTGTTTTCTTAGAACTTTGGCAAAAAAATGACACAATTTTATTGAAATTTATTTTTTCAAATTTTTAAACATGCAAGAAAATGTACTTTGAGCTCCCTGTGGTGGACAAGCAATTCTACAGTATCACGTGACTTGTGACGTCAACCCAGTATCAGATACTGCAAAACCCTCATGTAAACACTGTCGGTAGTAGAGTTTTTATAGATTTTTATAGATTTTGTTTATGGTTGTAACAACACATCAAATATCAGAGAAGGTATTGTCTTATTGTCTGGGTTGATGTCACACTCCTTTCCATACCTCTTTCGAGGCTGTCCATCTGAAATTCAACTGAAAACATTTACCAAAATTCAGGAATTGAATGAAATCGAGTCATTTTTTCACCAAAGCTCTTAGAAACTTCCCTATTTTTTTTAGGGGTTAGGTACACTTTAAGCTTTCCAACAATTACTGCAGTTATTCATCTTACCACTAAGTTTATGATGCAGATTAAAAGAGCAATAACCAAAACTGCAATTAATATCCACACTTTTGTTCCTCTTATTCCAGTCTTGTGAAGGGAACTTTCTTTAACTTTAGACTGACCAGCATCAAAGTTGTTGACATAATTAAGTGAATCATCATCCACAAGATTTTGATTATTCTATTTGAAAGAAATGAAGGTTGACAAAGGCATTATTTACATATACTGTATAGTATACAGCCTTTTGCACAAATTATGAGACATTTTTATATATATAAATATACCTAACCAAATATCAAAAACACCCAAGAAATTATGGGATACCGTCGCTGATATTTTGTCTGTAACAACCTGATGCTAGGCAATCATGACAAAATATAATAGAGATATACCATAATTTCTGGGGTGTTTTTGATATTTGGTTAGGTATATTTATATATATAAAAATGTCTCATAATTTGTGCAAAAGGCTGTAATGTTAACTGATAATCAAAAGTTTTAAATCTGACTAAGCGGAATTTGTATAATTCCAGATGGTTCATTAAGTCCAGTCTTGATGTGTGCAGATGAAAGATGCATATGCAATGGATCAAATAGTGGCTACAATCTTTGGATTGCACATACTTCTAAACATAAACTTCCCTTCCCTCCCCTCCCCTTCCCTCCCCACCCTRCRAAAAATGATATTGATTTACAACTTGTCTGCACAAATTAGGAAACATATAGCTGAAATTGTCAAAAAGCAGAACAATTAATAATGATTGAAGACATTGAAAAGTTGGACAACAAATATTTGAAGTCCAAGTACATTACATTGTAAATGAGTTGAGCACCCTAAATAGGAACCACATGACTGGAAGGAGATCAGGGCTCTAATAGAATTAATATATCAGGGAAATTAAAACAATTTTAGATAAATGTGTTTGATGTTCTATAATACAACATGTACATGCATATAGTATTTAAATATTTCAATCATCAGTTGCGTCCGCTGTTTTAATGCAACCTGCAGCCTCAAAACCACTTCAAGGTATCAACAAGAATATTCAAATAGATTTTGGCTTAAACTAAAGCCGATACACCAATTACAATCTAACTAACCCACACAATATTTAGCATTTATAAATACTGTGATAGACTAATTGTAAGAAGAAACGGTGGTAATAAGAATCTTCGTTTGGTTTAATGCACTTCGCAAACAATTTCCACAGCGTCGCTCGAACTCTCGTTCCACATGAAAAGAGTTAGAGTTTGTGAGATTTGAAGTAAAATATAACATTATTATTCCACATAAATCTGTTATTTCCTAGCAACTTACTTGTCGGTTATTTGCAGCCATACTTAAAAAGTAGGTAATGTCGGTAATCTTGGCAAAACATTGAAGTTTTACACACACCGAAGAGTTCAACAACTAAAGTCGTCTACAACTGTCAACAGAGCGTTGCATCGAGTACCAAAAAATCCTATGGGAGGGTCCCAAGGGGTAGTATTAGTCCCAGTAAAGCTGAAGTGAAAATAATATGCCGATTACTATAAAAAAAAGTCATTAGCGAATAAAGCGTTGCTGTAAATGACCAAAAAAGCTATTCCTCTGTTAACTACCTGYAAATGATATCTCAAACAACTGAACAATGCTAACATCAATAAAAGGCTTTTAACWAAAGTGACCAAAGGGTGCAAACATTTCAGTGAAGCTTGAAAGTTAGACTTAATGCTAGKGAACAATGTCAATGTAGAAAAAAAGGAAACTATTTCCCCCTTTTTTTGCGTTCTCTGATATCTTGTTTTCGATCGAGTGCAAAGGACGTCATCACTTTGGAATGTCACACTTCGCAATGGTTTGTGGGTGGCCAAAACATCAAGACAGCAAACAAGTTGTGATGGAAACTAAACGAACTGAATTTTCATAATTATTTCACTCACCTCTGACAGCGCACCAACGTATCTACATCTGTTGTCATGTAAASCTAAAGTAATCTTATCAACTGCTCAATTTATCTAAAGTGAATGGGTAATCTCACATTTGYCATGGTAGTTTGAGTATCATTTGAAGATTATGTTGTGTCGTACTAGCAAGCCGTGTTGGCACGGGAAAACTGTGTGTGAAGAACTCAAACAAGGTCGAATAGAGCTGACTTGAAAATTTTAAAGACTTCATACCTAATCAATGAATAAGTACGAAGTTCTTGGAGTTGTAGGCGAAGGTAAATAAATGTATGTTTTCGGACAACCACAGACTTGCTCACAGTTGATCTGTGGCGCCATGGGATGTATTCAAAATTTTCATTGAATTGCCACTTGAAGACATAAKTCGTATTTAGATTTTAACATATAAATCATTCAACTTTATTGTTTTTTTATTCTTGTAGGAGCCTATGGAGTTGTTATGAAATGTCGACARAAGGTAATTTCAATTTTCAAGAAAGTTTCATGTTTTTATGTACACGGACATGTTGTCGGTACAATTTCGTTGTTTATACAATAATGACAGACCACATTACGAATRATCATGAACTGTAATAGCAGCGACCAATGGATTTAATTAAATCAAACCAGAAGGTTTGGTATTTTCGGTAATTCTCTGTCAAATCGGCTTATGTTCACAGTATGCTCTTCACAGCGGGTTAGTGAAGCGTTTGATCACATTGGRCAGTTGTAGTCAATAGTTTTTGCTATCTCTTTCCTCTGAATGTAAACAAGTTGTAAAAACATGATAATAATTTATGAGGCTCAAAGACAGATCTCTATTTGTACACGAGAGATTAGAACATTCTCTAAGCCTTTTGTTTAGAATACAAATACAATTCTTTTTCAACAAGACCAGCCGTTTTTAAGAAACTTTGAAAACTTTTTCATTGCTTTCCACAAACTTTATGCACTAAACAGAGGAATTGAAGTCATATTTGCACCGTAATATGAAGTCTGATGTACCAAATATTACAAAAATCAATTAAAATTGTAGATGTCTAGAGCCATTATCAATCAAGAACAGCTGTCATTTAAGAAGGACATTTAAAAAARTGCAAAGCAAATTTTGTTTAATATTTAATTCTCYATAAACTTTTTTATCTTTTGCTTCACAGGAAACAAGTGAAATTGTTGCAATCAAAAAATTCAAAGATAGTGAAGGTAGGAATTTTAAAAGAAAATTATTTTATTGGTGACAGTTTTTTTACAATAATTACATCAGTATGTAATTTACATGCTATAATGAACAGGAATATGTAATATTATAAATGTGTGGTTCTCTTATTGTGTAGACATCCCACTGTCTTAAATATCTTGAMTAGGAATTAAAGAATTAAATTTTTAAAAATGATGATCTCAATTTCTGATTATAAAGACTTGCTTTATGTCAGATAARGATGATGTAAAAAGGACAACTCTCAGAGAACTTAAAGTTCTGCGCATGCTGAAACAAGAAAATATTGTAGAATTAAGGTAGGTCATGTTACAACACAATCATGAAAGACAAGAATTCCATACTGGATTTTTTATTATCATGATCCTAGATTTTATTTATTTCTCTATTTTAGGGAAGCATTTAGGAGAAGAGGAAAACTGTATCTAGTCTTTGAATATGTGGACAAGGTATTATGTGTATCCTAAGCAAATAAATTAATACTGATTAATTAATTGCTAATTATGAATTACTGATTATTTTTTAGTAAATGTAGTACCTTTTTATCATAGAACATGTTAGAAGTCCTTGAAGAAATGCCTAATGGTGTTCCCAATGGAAAAGTCAGGTATATTGATCTAGAATTCTTAATCCAAATCTGTTTCTAGCACAAATGTTACATGTACTTGAATTATTAATATGTAAATGAGATGGCAATGATTAGAATTCAGTCTGATTGTTTGTTGGTTGCCAATTGAGGATAAAAATGGCACAAGTTTTATGTTTTTTATATTAGCTTCTTATAATTCTGTATGTAATATATAAAATATGAGCAGGAGACCTTTATGGGCATTTAAGACTGTGAGCTGCAAGCGAGCAGTTTTATAGCCCATAAAGGTCGGACACAAATATTTTATATTGCTTATCAAATTCCATCATAAGGTAAAGCATATTTCGAAAAAAAACTTCAGGAAAAAATATCATTTGTAAGTCAGAGAAAATCGAAGTTAAAGTCGTATGCAAATCAGGACAAATCTCTTGCTCATATAAAGATTCATGAATTTGATAAATTTAAATCATTAATAATTTATTACTCTACTTAGAAAGGCATTTATTCATAGCTGTAAATGTTCATTTCAGGGATTACATTTTCCAATTAATAAAAGCAATTAAATGGTGCCACCAAAACGATGTCATACACAGAGGTAATTCTAATTAATTTATATTTATTATGATAATGTTCAAATAATCTGTTGCCTTGTTAATAATTGTAATGATATTAGATAACAATGATTTCTGTAGATATCAAGCCAGAAAACCTGCTGATTAGCAAAAATAACATCTTAAAACTTTGTGACTTTGGTGAGTTGGATTAAAGAGATTTTACCATGTGCTAATTTTCAGCTTCAGGGGCGTGTTCTTCGCAGGGTGAATAGATAACTCTGCAAACTTCTCCACACAGTCTAAATACATGCATGTAAATGAGCTTGTTAGAATATGTTATAAATTTGTTAAGTTGTTTTCTGGTTATTTCCTGTTTCTAAAATGATTATTCTTGCCTCCACTAAGGTTTTGCTAGAGCCATGGCTACCACTGGAAGTGCACAACTAACTGATTATGTAGCTACAAGATGGTACAGATCACCTGAGCTTTTGTTAGGGTAATACCATCAAGACAGTTGAATTATGTTTCTTCTATGTGTATTATTGAGTATATTTCTATGATAATAAAAACAAATTTTCTGGTGAAGTATTACCCACCATGCCACCTGCAATTGGTACATGAATACTACATAGAGTACCTGGAAGTTACATGTACAGCATAATATCTTACCTTGATAACAGGGGGAGGGATAGGAAACACCATCCCTAGCACCTTATAATTATCATCTGGAGATTTAAAGCTGCTAGCCAAGGTCTCCACATGAAGTACAGCTTTGTAACAAAAAAGAAAGAAAATGTCTGAACCTCTGTTTTATTTTATCCAGTGCCCCTTATGGTAAACCAGTGGATATATGGGCAATAGGCTGTATTCTTGGAGAATTAAGTGATGGACAAGTAGGTTTACCTTAAAAAAATATTAAAAAATATCATAATGATTGCTACTTCCATATTCATGTGTTTTACTGTAGTTACGTATAAGATATGTTTTAATATGATGTTATTTTATGTTTTTGATTACTGCAGCCCGTCTTTCCTGGTGAAAGTGAAATAGATCAGCTATATACTATTCAGAAGGTAGCTACTAATGAGATAATACTCCATTTTACAGTTCCGAACAACATCTTGAAAGGTTATAGCCCTAGCATCAAACTGAGACAGGAGTGGAGCCTGCAGTGATAGACACATTTTGTTCACACCTAAGACAATAAGTATTGACAGATATCCATCATTGCAATCTTAACTACTGTCTCGCTTTGACGCAAGGGATCAGCTACCTTTTAAGATGGCACTGGGAACTGTAAAATGGAGTTTTCTTCTTTCCAACTTAACCTCTAGAATCTACCTGTACCTGTGTCCTTCTGACTGCAAGCTTCAACTGATACACTTGTAGCTTTGTCGATATTATATTCCTGTACCCAAACCCACTTGGTATAGTAGATGGAGGGCCGGAATAGCTAAATGTTTGTTAAGTAGCCTGGAAGTCATTCCAAGGCTTACAGTGAACAATTGTCCAATCTGCCCACTCTATACCATAAATCTTATCATCAGAATTCTCATCATCTAATGTAATAAGATCATGATTAATTGATGTTAATTATAAATCAAAGGTCTTGGGACCATTACCTCCAGATCAAATGGACATGTTTCATGCCAACCCAAGGTTTGCTGGTCTAAAGGTATGAAACTCCAAATATCAGTGAAGATTTGAACAAAATGTCATGTAGTTTCAGAAACACAATTCTCATGCAAACAACTCAAGCTTACTGGTCATAGTTTTTCTGGGCTAAACTACCTTTTTTTGTTGACATAAATGTCACATACATTACATACATTGTGGGATGCAAAAGAAAAACATTATAATTGCACACTCAACAGTCATCGCGCTTTGATGCAAAGGCACGGCTACCTTCAAGGTAGCGCAGGGCACTGTGAAGAAGAATAGTCCTTACACATTAATAAGACTGTATTGTTTTGTAGTTTCCAGCTGTGGCATATCCACAGACTCTAAACCGCAAGTATATGGGAATCATCAGTGGTCCTTTACTCAATTTCATGCAGGTTTGATTACTTTTTTATAACAATTTCAATACATGTACATGTATAATAATTATACATTGTGTTTAAGGGTGTTTGTGTGAATATTTTATTTTGATTGAAGTATAATTTATTTTATAAACTGTTTCATTGTTTTTTGTCAAACCACAAAGTTAATTAATTGTCATACAGAGTTAACAAGAAAGTTGTCAAATAATGCACTTTTATTATACAAAGTTAATTAATTGTCATACAGAGTTAACAAGAAAGTTGTCAAATAATGCACTTTTATTATATTCCCTTGAATAAAGTCAATAATTATGTTATCAGTTATATAATTATACTTCCCTTGTAAACAATTCCCTTAAATTTCACAGGCAACATTACAGTTGGACCCTGTGGAAAGATTTACAGTAGAGGACTGCTTCAACCATGCAGCATTTCAAAAAGAAAGAGAAGAATATGAACAAAAATTAAAAGACAACCCTTTGCTTGTTTCTCGTGGTCATCCCAAGTCCAAGTCAAGCCACAAAAGTAGCAAACACAGAGAAAGTCAAGATTTAAAACACTTAAAAACACACAATGTTAAACAGCAAGAATTYTCAAATAATGTGRCATTTACTACACCTGATGGTGATAGAGATTCAGCTCATAAAAAAGCAGTTGATTCGGAGAGAAATAAAARCAAGATGCAAACAACAGACACTTCAGATGAACCAAAAAAAGAACTTGATGACAGTGAGAATGATCACAATGCATTCAATGTAGAATCAACAAAAGAAATAGACTCTAAAGATAATGAAAGTCACCTGGAAACAGGAAATACAAGACATTTAGTCACTAATAATCATTTTGATTATAATGATATGAAGACGGAAGGAAGTGATGTTAAAGGTGGTGTTGAAGCTAGCACTCATTCAAAGCATATCAAGACAGGTTCAACACCCTATAGTCATTTTGTTGCTGCTAACTACAACTTTTTTCCTGGTTCACTTCAACAAGCAAAGGTACTGCAGCAGTAAAGGGGRATCGAATAGTAAAATCTGAGCCTGCAAGCCACTTGTTTTAAATCCGAGCGCGAGGCTTTGGCTGAACGAGTCCGATATTTCAGCAATTGCGACCTTCCGAGTCAAAAGAGATTTTAAATCCGAGCCCCATTCTTTTAAGCACTAAGATTGCGAGCCTTGGGAAATTTTTGGTGAGCCTCGCTATTTCTGAGACACCATTCTACACCCCTCAGAAAACATCCATTAGGCTTTCTCACACCTTGAGGTTTGGACACAAATTAGAGAAAAAYCCTATTTATCCTAACAAAATGTGCAAGTTTGGTCTAAATCAATCAAAGGAAAATGATTAGTAAAATTGAAAAAAAAAATGCCTTATTTTGTGAAGACATTTATGACAAATTATTCCTGCACTATACATTTCTTTGTAAATTCTACCATTTTCAAAATTTTGTAACTCTTTTCAGAATTAACCAAATCATAACAAACTTAATTTTTTATAGCTAGTTGTGATCTTTCTAGCCTATGTACATCCGTTTCTCACCCCTCCAAAAAAATCGGGGAGATTTTAGTCACTAATAATCTAGCACTCATTCAAAGCGGGTAGATTTTTTTGGAGATTTTTTTGGAAGGTTTAGAAACGGATGTACACAGGCTATGATCTTTCAATCAAGATGAGTTTGTAATAATGAGGGGATTCGTCCCAGACCTCACAGTATGGAAAAGGCTAATTGGAGTTTTGAACCAATTAATGGTTGATGGAGTGATTCTTTTGTTTTCTTATTGTTCCAAATTTGTTATATTATAGGCAACGTATGGAGTCCCAAGCAATACTTCATCAGTTGTTGCTGAAGAAATTCGCAAGACAAAATCTGTCATAATGAATAAGAAGAAAGACTTTGATGTATCCATCAAGCCAAAACAGTCCATTCCGCAGGGCTCGCTTAGAAATGAGGTATTTTGGGATCTTCCAATCATAGAACCTTGGTTTTCAGATGGGAAACCACTGTAACCTTTGTGAAAATACTGTTAAGAAATATCACAGCCAAAGAATATAATTACTATTTCTTTTTTTTAAGCTTGTTGATCAACATTACTTCAAGCAAAAAGACACTAAAGGTCCTGTATTACAATACGAGAAACGTGGCTCAAAATCTAATCAAGCAACAGGTACATGTAGAATCAACTAAGCTACAGTAATTCATTTGTTTTATATTATCGTCTAATCAATACATACTAATTAGTACTATTTGTGTGATTTGTGRATGTTTGAATTTTAGTTGTATTTCTAATTTTTCACTACATAACTGTAGAAAGGCTGTGATTTTACTGCAAAAAAAAAAAAAACTTATATTATGACCTCAAAGTTTTAAAGCTAGTTGGGGTTTTGGGCTTTGCTGCAATGTGGAGCATTGATCAATAAATAAGCTTCATTTTACTTATCTCATAAATCTCATAAATTTAGCTGAGAAAAAAATTATAAGAGAAAACCCKAAATCAGACAAACTGGACTATATAATATTTTGTATATAATTWACTAATTTTTATWTTATAATACTAGACTCCAATGCAAATACCATCCCCCAGTCTTCCTTCCCAGTGAATTATGGTCTAGGCATTGAAAGAAGAGGCTCCACATCTGATGTAACTTCATCCAATCTTGATCAGGGGGGACACTTGATAGGACAAAATACCTACCCCCTCCCTGGACAGGTGTCCAAACAYAGAACAGTATTAGAATCCCAAAGGTATTTTTGAAAACTTGGAATGATGGATATGCTGATGATGATGATGATAATGTGTTTTTTACTTTTTTTTTTTTTTTCATGTTTGAGGGTTTTGGAATTTATAAAGTATGTTCTTTGTTTTATCCAGTAGAAAAGTTGAAAATATCATGAGTGAAGAAAGAGCAAATTACCTACAAGAAAAGAAAGAACGCAAAAAAAAGAAAAAGAAATCACAGCTTGTAAGTGAATAGTAAGCATATTTCCAGAGAAGTGGCTGCCCGACGCGTACAGCAACCTTACTATGAAGGGAAAGATACATTTGTMTRGAAYTTRTWTTTGGATTTCTATATTTCTCAGACTCGTACCCAGTAGTTTGTCTTGCACCAAGGGAACTCACAGAAAGACTTCCCWTGATTCTTTGCGCATGCCAGAGAAAAAAAAGAGTAATGACTGGGTACTAGCAGTGGCGGATCCAGGGGGGTTCCATGGGTTCCTAGGACCCCCCCCCCCTCAAACATAAAAAAATAGATGATAAATGAAATGTGGGTGTCTTTACACTTGCTACAGTTCGAGAGACACAGTAAAAAAGTTGGTTTTAGGAAAATGCGAAAAAAAAGTGGAAACCCCCTTTGAAAAATCCTGGATCCGTCACTGTCTAGTCTGAGAATCTCTACAATAGATATTTTCTGACGTTTCTTTATATAATTATTGATACATACCGTGTACTCTCATTGGCTGACAACCACATCAGAGCAGTATGGATATTAAGTAAACGTGTGGACGAAAAATGCACAATTTATAAAATGAATTTTTTAAACACTGTATGAGATGGAAGACTCTTGAGAAGCAAGACAGAAAATCGAGAGGGAAGAGAAAAACTTGATGCAATTGTTTTTCCATTGTTTCTCTTGGGCTGTCCATTTTTCACTGCACGGCCATATTGTACTTCAAACAAACTTAGAAGAAGAAAGCACAATCTCCCAATTTTCTTTATTTCATAACTGCTAATGTTATTCCTTCCAGTATAACAGTCAACAAGGACAGTGGAAACAAAGATCGGAGTCCTCAACGTAAGTGATATTATGTGAATTTTATAATTATTATCATTTTGACTCATATTCCATGTATATATAAAATATATCAGAAATTATGCGATACCATCTCCATTTTTTTTAAAGTTGCCTAACACTAGTACTATATGAAAATAATATTGGTGATGATTCCATAAATTCTGATATATTTTATATATACTTGAAATATGAGCAAAAAAGATCATAATTCCTGCATATTGCTCTATATGCTATATGTATTGATTATCTAGTATTTGATTCTAGTGATCACACTAAAGTACAAGAAAGAGGGAATAGGYCGTCTTCTGATGTACAGGTAATTAAAATAATCTCTGGGTTTCCTGTGCCCCCTAAAATCGGCTGCCAAGGAGASTAGGCCATTAAGGAMGTAGAGGGGAAGGTTGATCTGGTGACGTTCAAGTGTAAAATAAGGTGTGGTGACTTTTTCGCGCCAATCCAAGGATTTATTATGTTCATATATGCGTTCAAAATCATATTTTAAGTTATAATTATATAGCCACATATTAATCCCAAATAGGTAAAAGCTGGATTTTTCGTTAATTTTGGAATCCTGTCCAATTAAGAAATTAATTGGACAGGTTTTCAATTGGGTTTTTGTTAAGAGCTGTGGTTGGCTTTTACCTATTTGGGATCAATATGTGGCTATATAATTAATAGGTAATAAGACTCCATGCTGTCCTATTAAGAAATAATTAGACTCGAAAAATTCCTCTGACTGCCAAATTGGACTCGGCCACGGCCTCGTCCAATTTTTGGCAGTCCTCGGAATTTTCCTCGTCCAATTATTTCTGTAAAATTGGACAGCATGGAGTCCTATTACATATAAAAATCATCCCATACAAACCGTCAACATCATCGATACTAATAAATTATTCATGATTGATAGCCACTTGACAGCCGCGCTCACAAACAGCTCACAAGACTCGATAAYGCGCAGGATAAGGTATGTAACCACGTAGTCGTACTATTGGTGTACTAGCAATCATTCCTATTTTTCAGTCAAAAATACCCCTATTCAATAAAATTATTGCCYGCTTCATCATAAAGAAACACTAACGTGTTTGTCATTCTTGAGGTGGATGTCAGTATCTGCATACTACGATCTATTCCCAAAATTTACACCTTAAAGTGTTTATGAAGCGATTTTTTTTTATTTGAAAAATAGAGTCAGTAGAACAAGAATAACAGCTTGGCTGATTACCACTGGATGCAGGCTTCAAATTTCAGATATAATTGGAGTTAAAAATCCATTATGKTAATTTGATGACGTCATTTGACGTGCTCTATCTAAATAGCGAAAGTTAGCTATTTAAACTGTGTTTTGTAATGAGTGTTRCTAAATTTACCCCTGCCAAACTGTGAAAGATCGTTTTCGTAACATTAAACAATCGGACAATTTTGTATAATCAATGAGTCAATCACTTGACGTCATCAAATTAGCATAATAGTTTTTTAAAATCCAATTTTTTCTGAAATTTGAAGCCTGCATCCAGTGGCACTTTGCAGAACTATTATTCTATTCATATTGATTCTAAATAAAACAAATTCTCTTCATAAGCACTTTTAAACTATCTTAACTTAGTAACGGTAAAAGCTTAGTCTTTTTTCCGAACTGGAAGCAATATTCAATTAAGGGTATTCATGAGTGTTGAACCATTTGTTCACCAATATTTCTAAAAGGGTTTCCAGATAGTGTCAACCCGAGTATCAGGCATGGTTCGCAGAGAGAGCCTGATTAGTGTGGACCCTGGATTAGCCTTTCCCAGCAAACAAGCTTTTAAGCATCCCTTTTGGCAACATATCTTAATGGTTGCTCATAAAAGAGCAGGATAGAGTCCTATTATCTTTTAATTGTAAATCCACATATTATTCCTAACTGTCCAATTAAGAAAATATTCGGCAGGCACCTATTTAGGATGAATAAGTGGATATATATAATTACACATAATTATTGYACATCACAGTTTGGTATCCTGGGAAACACTGCAGATGTTTTCTTAATTATCCTTTGCCTAATATCAGTTATTGATATGGCATTTGGTTCATATAGTAACGTACAATTTATTGTAAAAATCAGGCCAGTCTACCGTCCTATGCGTCTTCGCAACCGTCATCTTCTTTGAAGCCTTTGGCTGATCTACGTCTACAACCATTACAACACAAGAATACATCACAGCTTCCSAACTCCTACTCTTCAATGTCACACTCTAAACCGCGATCACCAGAGACTTTAAGTCCAACCCCGCAGTGGATGGGGTCTTTTCCATCTCACAAACACTCCGTTTCGGAACCCATTACCAGTATACACGAGAGAGCTGTAAGTCCAAATGCCGAACTCCTCGCTCCGTTGCCGAAGAAGTCGTCGCATCCACCTTCGGAAGTCGATGAGCGTTCGGTTGATGATCGTGAACATCGAACGCATGGACTGTTAAAGCCTTTGAATTCGAATAAAAACATATCCAGTATTCCTTCGGGCAAAGGACTGCCTGATTTAAACGATTTAAAAGAGACGCCATTATAACATTGTAGCTGAAATATTTTAAATATTGCAAAAATAATCTTTTGGCCATATTGAATTCTTTTACCAATAAGATTCTCAAATTTCAGCACAGGTTTTATTGCAAGGTGTACATATTAATTTATGTAATAATGTATTCAAGTTTGCCTGTTTTCGTATTAAATTATCGACTTTTGCCTGTTGTRATTGAGAGATGAGAAAGAAATGAACGAGCGCGCGCTTTATATCCTATTGTAGTGCGCTCCCTTTGAAAATGCGGATTCCCTGTGGTATTACGTCGTAATCTCACGAGAAATGGACCAGTCACAGACGACCAGTGACCATCTCCCGCGATCCCGTGCATCYAACAAGCGAGACAAGCGTTGAGCGTGTAATGATAGAAACCTTCACACCTTCAAGCTCACCGGTTGTCTRGCTTCGATGTAAAGGCATGGCTACCTTTCAAGATGACGCAGGGACCGTYAAGAAGAATATATATTGTCCAGCGRGCCATAAGAGTGTTTCAAGGACACGCSAATGATATATATGTGAAAGATTACTGTGAAAGTAAAGTTAGTTTGTAAAAAGATAAATTTAACAAAAAGTAGGTGAAATAACTTTCGGACGTTTCGGACGTTAATCGTCAGAGTAAAGAGATGGACGAAGGATTAACGTCCGAWACGTCGTAGGGTATTTCACGTACTTTTTACGGTGTTAAATTTATTTTCTTGCAAACCGACGCAGCTCACACTAGTCTATCGCTAGATCCACCCTATTGTAAAATTATAGGTTAGACTAGGAAACACGAACTCAAAGCATCCGCTTTTTTTCATCTCACTTCCTCCATTGACGTCTTTGTCATGAAATGAACCATTTTTAAAAAACTGCAAAGACAAAAATACAATAAATATTAAAAAAAAACATCTATAAAAAGAATAGAAAACCTCTGGAACCAGGGTATTTATAACTGAGCTGGATATAGTTTATTCGACCGCCACCCGTTGTGTTTGAGTAAAGTCGCCAGGTGCGAAAGGGAAATGGACTCATCGTTTGAGTGGCTAAAATCCTAGCTCCGTAGGAGACCATATTTATAAAATAGTATTTGCGCTCTTGGGCATAAGTTTTCGATTTGAAATCACAATTCGGCGCAAAACATTAAATTGATTAAATTAATTGCTTGAACTTCAGAAATGAGATGGCAAATGACTTATTGCCATAGTTGATCGGAAATAGATGGGCAAATCTAACATTTTTTTAGGTTTCAGTGACTTCAAAAAACAG